GAAAATCCGTGCATGGGTGAATCTGGCCATGGCAACTGGCCATTTCTATAAAGTTTGAATAATACAAATCATTAAAACTTTGCATAGCATGACCTATTGCTATGGCTAGCTTCGCCACTGAGAAATAACATTGACAAGTTTCAATATGAAATACTTTAATATCAATATAATCTTATAATTTTTCTATAGTTATATAAAAATATACAATATTCTAGTTACTAAAGCACTAAATAGCGTCTCTGTAACCAAACAGTGTCTCTCTATCACGTGATATAACTATCTCTTTAAAACACAACTATGACTCTATCTTAATATAAATAATTACACATTCAACTCTACGGGGGAATTTTACAAACACGTACTAACAACTCTTTTAGCCTACTAGACCAAATGCTGCGAAGGACAAAATACTATATACAACAGACTAGGCACTTCAAAGCGCTATAATTGAATTAAAACGTGCAGAATCCCATAATACATGCAGTTACATTTAATTGAACACGAACCTGAAGTCTTTCGCTTCAAAACAGTAAAAATTCCAATTCCCAACGCTTCCATAATAACTCCAACTCATCACTCATGTAATTCTTCCGAATTCTTCTTGTAATCTTAATGGACTTCACAGGTCTTTAGTTTTAACACAACAAAAGGCAAATTTCCACCAAAAAGACGCCCAACCAATTGGGAGCAAATCTCAACGTCCACTTCAGTAACTCTCCTGCTACCTTTGGCCACGTCTGGGGTTTGGAAAGGGGGAGCCATATTGGTACAGGAGTTGGGAGGGGTTGACAAAATTGGGGGCGGGCAAGGGGCCATTAAGGTGCATTAGATCAGAATAGGGAGGTGGGGAGAGTGGATGTAGGGGTCCTAGGAACCTCTGAAATTGCACATTTGGAGGTCCGGGGAACGGAAAGTGCATATGCGCTAACGAGGTCATGTGACCACCCTGCATAAATAAAGGAAGACCTCCTATTGGTTGATTGAGATGCGGCAACGTCACGTGATGAGGGGCTTGGGAAGAACTTCGCGCCCGTTTCTTTGAGCTCAATATCTCGCTGCTTGCCGAGGCCGCCTGTGGTTTCGTCATATTATTCAAAGATATTTTTTCAATTGTCTTTTTTGACTCCACAAGATCTTTATAACTTTGTTGATTATCCATAGATGGCCCTGGGTACACCTTATTACCACCTGGTGTGATTATGGGTGCCACATTACTTCTAAAGGTTTCGTTACCCATAAGGCTTCCAATAGTTGCTCTGGAATTTTGAGTGTTGAATAGGTTAGGATTTTGAGAGGTAGATGTGGGTATATTAGGGTACTGAGGATTTGTGGGTATGATAGGGTATTGAGGGATAGATGTAGGTATGTTAGGATTTTGAGAGATCATGTTGGATAGGTTAGAATTTTGAGGGGTAGATGTGGGTATGTTAGGATGGGAGATAGATGTGGGTGTGTTTCGAGAGGTAGACATGGTTATGTTAGGATAATGAGAGGTTGACTTGGGTATGTTAGGATATTGGGATGTAGATACGTCGAGATTTTGAGTGGTAGAATTTACTGGGTTGTTCTTTATAGTTGATGGTTGTCGGATCTCGGGTCTTGTAACTCCAATCGGCTTGGCGGGTGGTTGCTCTGGCTGGGAACGAGGTCGTTGCTCTGGTTGGCTGGGCAAAGCCTTCAAATAGATGTAGAATGGAAATCAAGATATCCTCAAACTCTACTTTAGGGGGAATTAAATCCGTTCTCTCGATAGTAATTCAACCGAAAAAAGTGATAATGGTATCTCAGATAATCGTTTTAAGTCCCATACACGTTTTCAAACAGCATTTGTATTTTATAAAAGTTCGAGCGCAATAAAAAATAGTAATCGCGGTAGAAATTGTTAAAGCGTGCATTGCTTATGGCCTTTTCGTTTAATATTTAAATCTAAGAATCTTTCAATTTTATGTGTACGAAATAAAAAGACAAGAAACTATTCGTCATACACGCGCTTCCGGCGTCAAACCGACAGAGAAACAGATGCATTCTATAAAAAGTTCTTTATTTTGTAGATTACATGGCGATAAAACATATAATACTTTTGTTTGTGGAAACACCAGTTACACCACATAAATTTTTATTACTGCACTGACAAAGATCCAGGCTTACGGATCGAAAGCTTTGCAGTAATAAATTTACGCGGTGTTTCCACAAGCAAAACGTATTAGATGCATTCTCAATTTTCTCACCCAACACGTAAACCCCAAACAAATAGATCAATACCTCACTCAAACCATTACCATCACCATCACCTTCAGCATCTACTTTCTCTTCTTGTGTCACCAGACTCTCCTGCGATCCATCTGTATCCTTTGCTGCCTCCTTAGATGCCTCCTTAGCTTCGGCCAGTATTATCAAATCCCGGATGTGGGCAAGACGTCTCTCGACATCAGCTGCTTCGTCTACGATATTTTCACCCGGGGTTATGTCCCCATTCGTCATCGCACGCAAGATGCGTTTCCTAGAACAGAAATGGTGAATGGTGGGACAGTGGTTAATGCACATGTACATTTCGCTTCTGTTCTGGGTTCAGTTCTTGCAATATGCATGCGAGACGAGAACTTGACTCTACCAAACACAGCACATTGTCTTTATTCCTGTGTCCTCCTGCAGTGACATGTGACCTTACTGGACCTCAGGGGGGGAACAGTTATAACTGATAGAGCTATCCAGTATAAATAAAGTTAGTTTAGTTTATGTTTCCTCCTGTAGTAACACTGGATAAATAAGAGATGAACCTTACTGGACCTCTAGGGAAAACGGTTTAGAACTGATAGAGTTATCCAGTATAAATAAAGTTAGCTTAGTTTAGGTTTCCTCCTGTAGTAACACTAGATCAATAAGAGATGAACGTTACTGGACCTCTAGGGAGAACAGTTCAGAACTGATAGAGTTATCCAGTATAAATAAAGTTAGCTTCGTTTAGGTTTCCTCCTGTGGTAAGATTGGAACAATAAATTTTGGCCATTACTGGACCTCTGGGAATAAGAGTTCAGAACTGATAAAGCTACCAAATATAAACAAACTTTAGTTTAGGTTTCCTCCTGTAGTAACTTTGTACCAAAAAGGATGGACCTTTAATTAATGCTTCATCGCTAGAAAGAATAGTTCAGAACTGATAGAGTTTAGTTCTACAGTACATACCTTGCAAACTGTAAAGCTTGTTCAGCCAGTCTTAATTCTTCTAAATCATGTTCCTCTTCTGCTTCGCTCTAAATTTTGATAGAAAAATACGCTACTACATCCTGATTACATGCAGTCGCGCATAGTCGGGGCCATAGGCGTAGGACGAAAATTTCACAAAGGTGGGACAAATTTTCGGCCGCCTTTTCTTTATCCGGTACGCCCATGGTCAGGGCAAACAACATGACATTTCTCACATGGACCAACGTGAGAATCCAATCTATTGAATCCAAAATAATTTACCTGACACGAATCGTCAGTTCCTTCTTCAGTGTTATCATTCTAGTTGAAAGAAATAATGATCATTTATATTCCCTAGTTATAATCTGACCGGCCAATAGTTCAGAAAGGAGTGCAGTCTGGGAAAAAATGCACAAGAGAGTTTTTCAAAGACGATCAAAATTACATGAGTCCGAAGGACGAGTATTACTTTTCGGCACTGAAGTTTTTTGGTACTGAATTACATTCATATATCCACAAATCGTGACTATAATTTATAAGGTATGCCGAAAAAATTCACTCAAATATATCAGAGGGGGTGCACGGGGGTGCTATTTTTTATGACAAAGCAAAAAAAAGACAAAATGAGATACAGTAATTTGAGTAATAACATGAGGATAAATGAACTGTGAACAACAATTCAAATTCAAATACAGTAGTTGATGGGCGGGCGGCACACATGACCGACACAACTCGGCAGTCGGCACCAGAGCACCCCCCTACCAGATCATGCTGGATCCATCCCTGTATAATACTTTGTTCCATTCTATGCTTACATTATCATAATTACTTTTCTGAAATATGATTACCTCCTCGCCCCAATATGTTCCAGGATTTTGCTCATAGGCAGAGACCTCGTTTTTCATCATTTGAACAAGTTCTGGTGAAGGATGATCAAAGGTTTCAAGAATTCCAGGAACGCTAAATAAACAACAAACTGTTTCTAAGAAAGAGTTTAATAGTTATCTTGTCTTCAGTATAAAACCATAGATAGGATGGTCTGGAAACTGAACACAAGTCATTGTGCTTTTTTTTCTGATTTATGTTAATTTATGCACGGTCACGGTGATTGAGGCATTGAACTATAAATAAACTGGAAGGCTAACTCAGGGGGGGGGAATTGAAGCCAGTGCATTTTAGTTTTTCTGAGTTATGAGCAGAAATACTCAACACTGAACGTTGGGCTATATATCAAATTGAAGCTATTGAAAAACACTATTTGGTGTAGACTTTCAAGACTTTAGCTACTGTAAAAGGGAAATATTGAAAAACTACAAACATAATTACCGATAATTTGCCGTTTTGCAGTTGTTTTCGTATTTTTAAATATTTTTCTTTTCGCTGAAGTCTTGAAATTTCCACACCGAATAGCAATTTTCAATAGCTTCAATTTGATATATAGCCCGACGTTTGGGGTCAAGTATTTCTGCTCATAACTCAGAAAAACTATTTTGGCTTCATCAAATCATAGGCCTTCATCATAGCGGTTAGCCTTCCAGTTTATTTATAGTTCAATGGATTGAGGTTATTGTATTTTCGTATAATGAAGTAATCGTCCAATAGGGATAGCTGAGATGAAACGTGCAACCACGATAAGTAATATTTAATAAGTTGAGACAAAGGATTTGTGCATGGTGAGGTATAGTTCAACATCAAACAAAGCTCTTCTGTTTTGTCGCTTTGATGTTATCCTGCTAGCATTGGTTTCTGCTAGAAACCACTGCTAGCAGGATACTTTGAAGTTTGCTGGGCTTCCAGATCAATTGACAGACTCTAGTATAAACTCTTGCAGGTAAGATAAGAATTGAAACTGCAAGCACTTTATACCGCAATGAACTCACGTGGATAGATGGTACAACGAAGCGTATTCTTTTGCATCTTCACCATCCGCAAAGTCCCCAACTTTAAGTCTACAATAAAATTTTAATATTTAACAATCTACGCAGTAATTTGTTGAATTGTAGTCTATTTGGCAAAGGTATTATCGGACGTTTTCTAAAAACTGACTAGCAGCGGGCCTAATATTGACTTGCTGGGGCAATTTTAAGATTAAAAGTTTTCAAATGCGCTTTACAACAAGTATCATAGTCATATATATACGCTTACATACTTAGCCTATAGACTATTTTATCTTTTACTGTTTTACAACAATTGTGATATCACTTTCTTAAGTTAACTTAACTGTGTTTATCCTAACCCACCCTGTCAACTTTCCCTGTGGGAGGAAACCGGAGCACTCGGAGAAAACCCACAACTTTCGGCAGAGCGTTGACTGACTCTTTTCACATGACTCCATAGCGAGAATTGAACCCACGAACTCAGAGGTGAAAGGCGCTTGTTCTGACAATTACGCCATCGTATCAAGTCGAAACTATTGTTTTATATTTTGTACAAACCTTCTCAGTTCATCAAATAGCTCTTCGTGATCTTCTCTAGAAATGATTTCTTTTTCGACCACCTTTTTCGCATTCCTTAACTGTAAGTACAAAATATACCAAAGCTCAAAAAACGGTCGGTCAACGGACAATGCCCGGCCTAGCCTGCGAACAGGCTCTCAAGCTGAATTGAGAGCCTGCATCGATGACTAATGAATTTGAATATCTGCCCCGTAACGTTCGTTTTTCCAAATATGGAATGTCTATCCTTATAT